CCGTTGCCTGTGAACGGCGAGAGTCGCAGCACACAGCTACCCGCTCTACCGACTGAGAAATCACGGATGATTACGTGGAGCGGATCGTTGCAATGGAGGATCAACATCCATTCCTCTTGTCCTTCCATCAACGAGCATTCACTACCCAGACATCACGGGCTTAATCACCTTGACAACACACGACACAAACTAATTCAAACAGACATGCAAATCGCTCGTGTCGAGTTCTTCTCTGTAGGCAAGACGAAGCTTTGTATTGACAACTGTCGCAGGCAAGAAATCATCTACACTAACAGCTACGTCTGTCCACCTGGCTGGAGTGCATCGCTGAAATGGGGGCATGTCATCCATCTCGTATGGCACGTTGTTTTCCTTGTCGTGATGCTTTGGCTAGAGCGTTTCGCTTGTGCACCGACCCCATCGCGGCGGGGCTTTTCCCCTTTACACGCTGAGACCATCGTAGCTGCCGATAGCGACAGTGATGGTACCCTTGAGGCTCTCGGCCTGGCTCTGCAGGTCCTCGGCACGGCTCTCAACAGCATCGATGAGCATGAAAGCGGCAGTCTGTGATGTGTCAGTCCAAGTGCGCATCAACTGTTCGGGGATCAACCACGTACGTCAACAACTTCCTCAATGGAACGCAGCACTGCGGCAACGGGCTGTCCAATGATGGGTACGGTGTTGAAGAGACCGGCCTTGCCGATGAGGATGTTCAGGAGAACCTGGTGGACCCTGACGAACTCGCGGAAGGCGTCGAAAATGGCATCCGACGGGGGGCCGGCGGGGACACCGGCCATGCCCTGCATTTGCGAAATGGCGACCGTGGCGGTGCTTACGATGTCGGTGAATCCAGTGATCAAAGTCTGCAAGATCATGTCAGTACGGCACGGGGCGGATGAAGCAGGAACGCGCTTCCTTACAGGGAAAGGACCGAGGCCCACGACGATCAGAGGGCCATTGATGATGCTGATACTCTGCGCAGGGGCCTGCAGGGCCTGCGATTTTGTCGTGAGGGCCTCGATATTGTCAACGACCTGGGCAGGCGTAATCTGGCCAAGGGCAGTCTGGCTGCAAACAGCCAGGGCGGCGACGACAGACTTGAGGAGGGAGAAGCGCATCTTGACGGTTGATCTAACGGCTTAGCGGTGACTGAGCTGATACGGAAGAGGTGATGAGAAGAGAATGAGTAGAGGAGAAGAAGATGTTGGAGAGGATGAGTGTGGTGAACAAGATGCCATCGAAGGACCAGCTACGTCGTCGTGCTTTATACCCAAGCTCGGTGGGCGCGAGCTGTCGTATGTCCTTCATCATCCTCATGATGATCGTGAGGTTGCTTGCCGCTGCTGTCGCTAGTTGGTCTCACCAACGCAGTGTCATCGTCCTGCATCACTTTCCCAATTCGGCCATGTTGAAGCCTTTGCATGTTCGTTTAATCTCGCAAGAGGTTAAAGCACTCCGAAATCTTGCTTTTGCTAGCTCAGAGACGATGTTAAAATGACGTTTCCCAGTTGCAACATCAGCCACACCTGAAAGATAGATAGCCTATGGACCGGATCTGAACCGAGACATTGCCGCAGATCAACATGTCGGCATTGGCCACGGCCCTTCCCGCTCCCACTCGAAGAAGCAAGGCGGGCAGCCAGCCTGTCAAACGGCACATGGTCCCTAGACAGACAGCCACGCGTGATTGGATCGGGGACCTGTCATTCTTGTCTTATTGTAGCCAGCCACGACTCGTTCTGACAAGCTGAGGCTGCGCCCATGACTCTCCGGCGCTTATGAGGCCCTCTCGGGAACGCTTGCCTGTCCCTGACAAGAAGGAGTCATCATACTCTTGACCTGGCTTGTGTTTGTCTCATTCGTGCCATGCCCCAGGCGCTAGCGACCGTTTTCTGAGTGCAGCGCCCTCAACGCACTGCTGTGGTAACGGACGTTTGACAAGCATGGAGTGTAACAGAGGGCCCTGGACGCAATAGTACACACTGTCCGTCAACGGGATAGCCAACCGTCATGCAGCGTTGGATGATGGCAGTACAAGGGGTAAAGAATTTCTGTGCTGGCATTGCTGCTGCAAGGGAGGTATGCATGGGATGTGCTTGCCAGCAATATTCCCGATGATCATTGCCACATGTTGAGCACCCTAATCCGTGATGAGACCGTGCGCCTGATGATCAAGGAGCTGTCAAGACAATACTGTGATGCTGTTGGCTATTAACATGTTGCTGAAGCTTTGCTTAGCTTCCAGCTCTCGATGCCCATCAATACTCGGCATTTGCGGTGTGCAACAGACGCAGGTCGTTCCGGGCGCAGCTGAACTGACCAAGGATGACCAAGAGGTATTTTCTCCACTGAGGACGGCATCACGATGCTTGTCGGAGAAATGATCAAAGCCGTGGCTGTCAAGCCAGGCATCGACGAGCCTCTTGTCCGTGGAGCAGCTGAGGCCAGGCAAGCATTGAGACAGGACGCCAAAGATATTGGCATCCGTGAGTAGCCGTCAGGGCGTTTCTTGGGAATGCACAGGTGAGTAGGCAGGCAGGCAGAAGAAAAAACAAAGCACTGGACCACTAACAGTAGTGCTCATTTGTCTATCCCCGGCGTCATCAAATGAGGGTGGAGCAAGACACCAGCCTCCTGGTCTATACCCACAGCGAGCACATCTTTGGACTTTTGACCACTGCATGATTTGCACAATGTGCCACTGCCGTTTCATGGCTTGACTCTGTATGCAATGCGCCCGTGGAATTCCATGGAGTAATTGAAAGCTTAAATATGTAGGAATATTTCTTCCGACAGACTGGCTTGCGATGAGTTAGTTGGCTCGCCCTGCGCAATCAAGGCGCCGTATGGTCTTAGTCTCATCGCGCTCATTTCTTGATTGACTGGCCGGCTGTACGAGCATGCCTCGCTTACGATCACTCCGGAGATGGCGAGTCTACTTGCTCGAATCTTCCACACCTCTCGTAAACTCAGCTTGTACCCGCGAATCAAAGATCCATCCGTTTTCTTGAGCCATAGAGTCTTTCATTAACTAGGATATTTCATAAAATCATCACTGATCTTCTCCTCGTCCAGTGCATACCTGAAGCTATTCTCAGCTTCGTCGACAGCCATGGTAATCTGGTCTTACAATATGGTTTCCTCGGTCCCCAAAGCCTGGAACATGCCGAAGTTGCCACGGGATTTTGTGTAAGATTGCACTGAACGGGACGCGTGTTGATGCCACCTCGCCCGTAGGTTAGATGCTTCTGCCACAAGAACCAGGACGCGATCGGAAGTGATATCACCACCCTGAAAATTCATGGTCATATTCCTCGAAAAGTCTCAAGCTTTGTGAGATACTCGGGGGCCTTCTGATTTCATTCATATTCATCTCGATCGTCAAAACAATGCACTGTCATCCTCGCCGAAGCTGCCAAGCGCAGAAGGGCCAGTAGACAGAAATTTAAATAACTGAACGGCAGGTGATGTATTTTGACGTATTCTCACGTGTGCTCAGATGATGCCCCCTGTTAGCTTTTGACTGCTTTCAATTTGCGATCGAGGAAGTAGACGACTTTTGTGATTGCATTTTGCTTTTCTTTGTTGGTTACTAAGGCTCCGCGTGCAACCATTTCGCTGAATCTAGCCCAATAACCCTGGAAACTTGCCTTTGACCTTCGGCGATAGCCGGGGTTATCAGGTTTGGAGAAACTATCGAAGGTCCAGTATCAAAGGACGGAGATCTCAAGGTGCGCGCAGCTGCACCTCTGCATTCTGCATCGGTGCTCGGATACTTATTGCTTATCGCCGGATTGGCTTGTCCTGATGACGACAACACTTTGTGCGGGTTTCCACATGCACCACATCATTATCAAGTCATTGTGATACCGTGATTTCCTTTCCTTGGTG